AAAGAAAAGAGAGAGCAGAGGAAAAGCAACAATTTAATGTAAATCCCCAAGAAATTCAAAAGTCAAAAAAAATTTAGACCTGAAGAATGACTGCTGTAGCTGCCTTTGTTGGCGATGCTGATACAACATTGCATAGTGCATCGACTACCTATGACATCCAAATAACAGTCAGATAAATACATTTCCATCTGCGGGACTTAATAACAGATTAGCCATAGCATAATTATTATGAAGACAGCAATCGACCAGAATCAGAAACTTGAATCAAGGACAAGATATTCATTAATCTGCTGTAAGGATCAACACCATTAAACAAATTATAACCTGCTATCAGCCTTTAACATTTTCTCTCTTTTTCTTGAGGAATATGCCTTTAGAATTTCAACAAGAGGAAGATGTATAAAATATAAGTCAAATTGAACATAACACTACTTCATGAGGCATGTCATATATACCTGTCTCCATCCTTGTTGAGCTGAGGTGCTTTCTGCACACGGTTGTGTATCTGGAGCTGCGATCAGCTTGTGCCATAACAGTGAAACAACAGAAAAACACAACTCTTGTTTCTCTACAAGAACAGATCTTAGAAGTACTTGTGCACTGCAATTAAATCCTATGTGCCTGTCCATTGTGAGGAAATTAGCTAGATCCGAAGCATCCAATGGGAAACTTGCAATACCTTTACCCAAGGTATTTCCAGAGCCTTCATCTGCACATAATCCTCCCTCATGTTTGTGATTAGTTTCTGAGTGCAATGTGTCTTCACGCTGGGAGACAGGATTCTGTCCAGAATCAAAGCAGCTGGTACTCGTCCATCTATCTTGTTTCCTGCCATCATAACCAGTGAGAGAATCCTTCCAAACCGGCGTATGCATTAAGCATGCTTCTAACGGCTCAGCCTTGTTAACAATGGATGCAACAGCTTTGCTGTGGATGTCAATGAGATTATACAATGATGAAGATCTGGAGTAAATTTCATTATCCCACTTGCACCTCATCAAGACAGAAAGAGCATGCATGCAAGCCTTTGAATGTCTAAATAGTTCAGAAACATGAGCAGCTACCATAGCTGCAGCAACTATCTCATTAGAACTGTAACTCCAGGAAGTACCAACAGAAGACGGCTTCAGTGAAAACAGTGCCTCTAAAATTGCTAAAATTCGGTGTGTATGATGAATAGCTGAGTCAATGCTAGTCCCAAGCTCGTTAGAAGACCCATTTCCTTTTGCCGGCCTAGCTAGAGCTTGTACATCCTTACCATTTGGATATTTATTTCCCCTTGAAATCAAAGGATACAACTGAAGTTCACAGGCCAGAGCACAAACAGCAGCAAGAACGTAAGAATCAAATGCTGCTACAGGTCCCTGTTTTTTTGTCTTTCTAGTTCTCCTATCTGCCTGCTTTTCATATACTGCTTGAGATTCCTCGGTGCTGTCATCAGGAAGAGACCTTTCTCCACCTCTTGGTCTCTTGCTCCCATTTGATTGAGCTTCATGGCTAACACATACAGTTAAGACAACAAAAAGTAGCCGTGAAGCAAGTTCTACTGATGCACATGACTCTAGAAAGAGTGAATGAACCATTGTGCGAAGCTCTGCAACAGCAAGGTTTTTAGAGATTGATCCTATGCTAGTGAAAAATCGTGTCTTTCTGGCACTTTCTCTGGAGGGCTCAGGTGGAAATGTTCTTTGAAGAATTGCCTCCACAGTAGCAACAAATATCTTCATGAGACACGCTTCAGATGGACTTCCTCGTGGAAGATATTCCAGGACCTTGAGAAGTGGAATGAACAAGTTCCATGATAATATGGGGGGTTGCAAAGGAGTAGCAACTACGATTTCAGGAAGATCAACTGCTGAAGAACTTAAAGGAATCAACCCATAGGCAGCTTCCCATATTGTGCAAATTCTCCACTCAACCTCAGGTCCATGTGCACAAAGCATTGATGCAATCCCTTGGGCGGTGGCTTCAATAGTTGCTTCAGCCGCAGGTACTTCTATCTGGTGAGAAATTATTGCATTATTAGTTTCAGTTTCTGTAAGATATAGTGTAATTATAGTTCCATTCAAGTAGAAGATATTGTGAATTGCTTTAGCAGTCTGGAGCATAAAACACAAAAAAGTACGAAAAGTTAAAGTTGTACCTGCTTTCTGTAGGATGAAATATAACTACCAAGAGGTTCGTGTTGAATCTCCACTCCCTCAACTTGTCTTAATGGAGGAAAAAGCAAAGCAGGCTGTGATAGTATACGGAAAAGCAAAGCTGCTGCAGCATCAGCAGCTATACCAGTTCTCATTGACATTGCAGTCCCTATTGCACGCAAAAAATGCAAATGCATCCAGTTCCTGGGAAGCTACATCAATGAAGGCAGAGAGCTTGAGACAAATAGAATAATAAAGGTTTAAGAAATTAGCTCATAAGTTTCTTACATCACCACGTTTTACATTGTGCATTAAAAATTGACTGAACACTGAATGCGTTAATCAATCCGATTGAAATTGTCTATAGCATTACTCTGCAAAAACTTGTACAAGACAAATTCCTATCACCAACCCTCGTAATTTCCCATTTCAAGATTACTATTAGACCAAATTTCTATAAGTTCAAGCTACATCTCTAAACCATCACAAATGAC